GATGAAGATGCAGGTGCAGGTGCAGCAGTACCTAAAGACGCAAACGGAAAAGTGGCACGTGGCGGAGCAACGCTACAAAGATCACATAGCAGCATTGGAATCGAAGCTGTCCGCCGCCACTAAGCAGATCGAATGGCATGGGCAACGCCTGGCGGCAGCACCGAATGCTATCCAACACAGTCACCAGAGGCCTATTAAACACGCCCAGGAAGTCTCGCCACAAGAGATGTTCAAGCCCAGCAAGCGTAGGAGGCTTGATTCCTTTGGGTGAGCTAGGTGCTACATACATGAGTGAAACCATAACTGACATAGACAGCGCTGCTGGTATCACTACGCCGGATTTCCAACATACACGCACGGCTTCCCTCCTCTCCGATACCAACGCTATAAGCCCAGGACTAGCGGCGGATACGAACGATGATGCCATGATGGGTGGCGCGCACGTTCGGGCACAGGCTCAGACACCAAACAACATCCACAGGCGACAGTCGTCGCAGCATTCAAATGGCTCAGCGGCTCGGATGACGCCCACGAAACGCCTCTCACAGCAGCAGAACGGCAAAGCGTCTCCTCAGCAGCTACTGAACATGCTGTCACCTCAACAGGAGCAGCAGGTCTTTCAACAGACAGCTTCGAACGATGCGAGCCGCCAGTCGCCTACATCCGGTTCATATGGCCCCGACCCGACGTATGCATCTCCTCGTTTCTCGCAACAGATGGGATATAATCAGCAATCGATTAACCAGCCCCGAAGCTTAGGCTTGTTTAAGGCACAAGACTTCGAGACACATCAATCGCAACGGATGCGCCAACAATTTCAGACACAAGCCCAAGCACAGAACTCAGGGTCCATGCAGCAACACACGCAACCTAGGCAGCCTTATGGTTCAGCCTCTATGATGCCGCCGCCCCAGCCTCGCACCATGCAAGTCCCTTCGAAGCGCTCAATGTCATTCGATGAGCAACCTCCAAGCATGAACCAGGAGGTGAGTAGGCGATACACTCCCACCATCAAAGAAACGCAGGCCATTACTGCTTTCAATGGCGGAGCCCCTTTTGCGGGAGAGGCATACTCTGGAGATGACTGGTTTTCTGCTGGGGACGAGCCTGCCATGCGAACTCATACTCCGAGGGTCTACACTCCGACCCTTCCTTCGAACGCGACGCCCGAGTTCCAGGAAACCGATCGCCAACAACCCCAGCAACGCAACTCCCAATACTACACTGTCGACCCTTCTCAATTACAGATGGATAATGAGAGGGACCTGTCTTATGAGTCCAACACCACCCCGAATGAGCCTAACAATTACATGAACGATTCACGACAGCCTTCAGTTGCAGGACGCACGACTCGGACTTCTTCTCGCTCTACACCCGCACCCGCTGGACGCTCGCGTGGACGGACTCCAGGTCCCTCTGAGCCAACCAGTGTTCCGTGTGTAAACTGTTACCGTCACTGGTGGGAGAACGAGTGTGATGAGGGTGAACCATGCTCGAACTGTGCTGCAGAAGGCGTTGACTGTGTGCGGCAGAAGTGCTTCAACTTTGCTGCTGGCACTTGTGACAAGGGCAACAGATGTCCAAACATCCACGAGGGCGACGAGCGATATCGAGATAACAGTCGACTGGTTGACCAAACCAAGGCAGGTAAGCGGCCTCAACGGGTTGGGAAGAAGGCGGATGCGGTGCCGGCGCCGATCACGAGGCAGCAGAAATAGGAAGCTGTAGAGCTATTTGCCCTGATGTATAGTTAGAATGTGTTGGCTTACAGCTGCATATGGTGGGACTTAGGGAGCTCAGGGCGCTCGGCTTCTCTTATCGTCCTTGTTGATAGTCGTCGCGCTTGTTTACTCTCACGGCAATCAAGAGTAGGATATACACGACTTTTGAGATATGACTAGTATTACTGATCTACCCTACACAACTATCCGCTGGGAGCTGTCTGGGCTACAAGCACGAGTCCAAGATTACCAAAACAAAAAAAAAGTGAAGTGAACCTGAGTAGCTGGGCAATGGAATTACAAAGTCGAAATGAACGTGCTCGATGAAATAGCGAAGCGATGAATGAAGAGAACAAGGATCGTAATAACGAAGCTATTGACTACCTAGTCGATTAGGCGTATATGACCACACTTGATTCGCAGAAATCATCTCTCGGATCTGGACTTCCTTGAAGTCAGTACGGACAATGGGGTGACAGCATTCTCAAGTAGAATGGGGGATGTAACTCTGGAGACTTTTCGATGTCGTAGGACGGGTCAAGACTCCGTTCCCGGTCACGTGCTGGCGATAAGCATCTCCAGTGGTGCAGGCCAAGCGGCGGTACTGCGGATGTTACGGCTTCGGCCACGGCAAGCGCTCCTGGCGAGATGAACAGTTTTCCTCGTTCTTTTGTGGAGTCAGCAAAGATCCAAAAGCGATTTCTCTCACCGCACTTGTGTTACAACGCTTGTGTCAAACCTCGATATGCGTGTGGAGTTCGCGCACTCGGGCGGGGCCGCGAGATGGGGACTACGCCAGTGGCGCAAAAACACTAATCCATACATATCCTAGTTTATCGCGCATTCAGGGTTTTCTAGCTCCACTCCACATTATTCTTTCACCAAGCTCCGCTTGGCTATAGCTTGCATATCTTATCCGGGTATCTCCCCAATCATTGGTACTTTGATTCACGCGGCACGTCCATCGCGACCATGATCCCTCCGACCTTTCGCACCATTGGAGGCCTAGGCTCGAGGCGCACCCTCTTTGCATCTATTGCTGGGAAGTTATCTCCGACCATGACGAATCTCTAGGGCACGCTAAGCGACTACTACCTGGCTGATAAAAAGCTTTGAGTCGCGCAATGCTGGATACTGAGTTTCTCGTGCCTTTTTAGTCGTTGCCTCTAATCGGTTGCTCAAATATGGCATCGAACGAGCCTGGCCTTGCGCCTCTCAGCGCGCCGGCTGAGGACCCCATCAAAGGTGCTATTGGCGTACCTGTCGATACCGACACCCCTGTCGCACCCGACCAGTTCGACGAACGTTACGAAACATCGAAGTGGGAGATATGGTCGTATTACTGGTAGGCTGATGTTCCAGCGCACAAAATCATTTGAAGTGCAGTCTGTCAACTGTGCCATAGCTGACATTGAAACCCGCGTCTAGCTACTACGTCGGAGACAACGGTCTCACGCTCTTCAACTTCGGCCCTACAGCTTTCCAGAACCTTATGTACGAAGCGGCAGGAGACTCTGAGGTGCTGCATTTCTTGGGTCGAGATCGAAATATCAATTCGATCGTGCTTCTCTCCAACGGAATCAGTTTCGCCATCCAGGTTGTCGTTTTCCTCATCCTGGGCTCTTTCGCAGATTTTGGTACATGGCGTCCCAACATTCTCATAGGACTGTCCGTCATCGCCTTTGGAATTGGATTTGGCTGGCTCGGAGTTCATACTGAAGACAAGTGGCATGCTGGTGTTGGTCTCTATATTGTCGGCCTCATCGCATACCAAACGACAATCACATTCTGGACCGCTGCATTCCCTGGCTTGGCGAGGAACACCAAGGACCTACGAGACAAGGCCGAACAGTTTGCTGATGGAACCATTACTCGCTCGGAGTATGATTTCGCGGATATGATGAAGCGAAACGAGCTCTCCAATACAGCTTTCTATGTTCAGTCGGTTTTCGAAATCCTCATTCTGGCAGTCATTGTTGGCATCATGTTCGGCCTGAAAGTCAATGATAGCGCAGAGAATAATAACTGGGGTCTTTCAGTGCTCATCGCCTTCGCAACAGGCGTTTGGATTTTGTGCGCTCTTCCTTGGTTTATCCTAGAGAAGAGGCGGCCCGGTCAGGATCCAGGACGCGCAAACATAATACTGGCAGGTCTCAAACAGCTCGGCTACGCGATGCGTCAAATCTGGCAACTGAGACAAAGTTTGGCATATCTGGCCGGCTACTTCCTCCTCGGCGACAGTCTTAACACCACCGTAACAGTCATCGGAACCCTACAAAACGAGATCGTTGCGTACAACAGTCTTCAGCTTACTTACCTTCTCATTGTCGGTATCGCTGCACAGGCAGTTGGCATCGGCGCCTTTTGGCAGATCCAAAAACACTATGGTTTCTCCACCAAGACCATGTTCATGGTTGTCGCTATATGCATTGTTCTGCTTGACGGCTGGGGCATGATTGGCATTTGGACGCAAAAGTTTGGTTTCCACAACAAATGGGAAGTATGGCTATATCAAGTCTTCTACGGCTTGCTTGTCTGTCCATGGTACAGCTATTCGCAGACCATGATCTCTGAGGTCACACCAAGGGGCAAAGAATTCCTTTTCTTCAGCTTGTTCTCCATCGTCGGCAAGACGAGCGCTTTTATTGGGCCACTGGTGAGCTCTGCCATTATCGATGATACCGGCAACAACAGTAGCCCGTTCTATTTCTTGTTTGCGTTGAGTTTATTTAGCTGCGCATGGCTTTTCTTCTTCGTTGATGTTAAAAAGAGTCGAATCGAGCAGGAAATTTTCCTGGAGAAGGAAAAGAACGCAAAAATGCAGAACGAGAATGTTGGGGATCTTAGCTAAATCTTCCCTATGACAATGGGATATATTGCTAGAGAGAAAGGCTATTTCTTCAGTCACTTTTGCGTAAGCTTGTTCGCAAGCAGTACCACTGACGATACATATGTGCTCATTTCTCATCTCTGTAAATTCAGCTAAACACAACATTCGGTAATCTCTCAAGGGCGTGGGCGAGTACGCGCTAGCAATGAAGTGAGTATCTCACATTGCGTCGTGTGATTATATCTTCGCCCGAGCGGAAAGACCTTGTCCGTTCACAACGCCGCGTCGCAACCCTACATTTAGTTGGAATTGGACTACATGCTACAAACGCATATTTCTCCTCTTTTCACAAAAATTGATCCCTTAGCCCAGTCTCACATCTGCATTAAATAAAGATACTGCACTGGTCAAACATAGCACGGACAACCTAGTAATAGCCATAAGTCAAGATGGCTATCAAAGTCTCTTCCTGGTTTAAGGGTCACTTCGGCCCACCATCGGATACTAATGTCACGGACGAAGACGAAGTTAGTGGTCTTGATCACAGCATGGATCTTGAACATGCAAACGCGGAAGAGAAGATGTACAAAAAGAAGTACTGGCAACTCCGTAAGCAGGTCGACGAAGACGAGATCTACAACAATCTCCGAGCTGATAATGCTTTCCTTCGCAACGATAAGAAAGAGCTCGAGAATAAGCTTATACGGGTCGAGAATGCGAAACTAAGCGCCGAGGTACAACTCATGAGGCGCGAGAAGGAACTTAACGATGTCAAAGCAAACAACAGCATCGAGAGGGGCGCCAGCAACGCACGAAACGAAAGGCTCAAACTAGACAACAGAGTGCTCAGGAACAATGAGGAACATATGAAGTTTCTGCTTCTTTCTCACGATATCCGAACGCCAACGCTACCCATTACATCAAGGGCTACACCACCCCCTACGCCGGAACTCACAGACGATGATTCTGATATGGACGATGCAGACGATCTTAGCGTCTGTCCAGAGTGGTATAATCGCCGCAATTGCAGCCGGGGTGTTGGTACTAGGCCTAAAAAGTGCGATCGCGGTGCACATCCTCATCTTATCAACTTCCGTACACCGCTGAGAGCGGCCTTCTAGCGTGGTCAGATGCGATAGCAAAAGCACAGGTAGTTACTTGTTCCAACGACTTCTTTCAATGATGTGTGAAAAATCCTTATGTGCCATGTGTCTTGCAACTTGTACAATGTAGGAAAAACATCCTTGGAGAGCTGAAAATCTGCCCTGCATTTGGCAGGATAGATTATTCTATTTCTCGTAGGATAACAACAACAACAACAACAAGTGACTAGCCATCCTCTCGCTGCTCCAATACCTCTCTAATTCTATCTTCACTTGGAAAACGAACTTCTTTCTCCGCAACCATATCGAGCAACCCTTGCACCTGCCTCACTTCGTCTTCAGTCACTCCCTCCAATCGACGATTGATTTCCGTGCCAAATTGGTCCTTGAAGCGTGTGAAAGTCGAGGACTTTTCTTGAAGATACTGGCTATTATTGATCTTTAGAAAGCTGATGAAAACGTCCCACCAGGTCGGCGAACGCTTCGGTGTACTAGTGTCTTCTAGTTCATGGGGTCTTTGTGATGACGTTCTGCCAGTACTGTCGAGCATGTGTATAAGCTCGTACACGAATGAACGGTCTGCACCTTTCTCCTTTTCATTGGGATTCAAGCTTGCACGGTTAAAGTCAATCAAGACAATAGTAGGCATTGTGAAATCAGGCCCCTTGTCCCAGCTAGACAAGTCGAGCATAACGTTCCCGCCAAAGACGTCGTTATGAGCGACGTTGGCGATGTCGTGCAGCCACCCGACTGCTCCTGTCAACTGCTTCGCAATGTGTAACACGAGAACCTCCGGTATCGCAGGAAACGAGAGGCTGTAAGTGACAGGGTCCGCTGAAGAAGGCTGTATTATATGGGTAACTACGACGCAGAGTCGCTCAAGGTCGAAGCCACGGATAGGATGAACCGCTAGCCAGCGCGACCCGCCGTCTACGATTGGGTCAAAGTCGACGAGGTCAGGCAAGTGTTTTGCAATAGTTTCGTCAGCAGCTGGGGCGAAGAAGCTGTGTATGCGCTGTAGGACAATAATCTCAGTGGCTACCCTGTCGCGGGACATTTCTCGACTAGCTATCTTCATAGCTACAAGGCCTGGGCCTTGCGCTGTGAGGTTCGTTATAAGAGGGCTTGCGACTAGAGAGGGTCTGCGTGCGCAAAATGTGACTTGTCCAATAGTACCCTTACCTGCTTCCTGTAGTGAAATGTACTTATTGTTTGTGTTTTCATAAATCGAATCAGGATCCATCTCGCCGCTGGATAGCACCGTAGAGGTATCTGATCGCTCGTCGTCTGCGTCGGTAGAAGACCCGCTCGAAAGTAGAACCCAAAGCCAACACATCAGCGGTTGTTAATAACTGACTCAACAAGCATGGGCGCTGGGATAAGTCCTAAACTTAAGATAGTGAAAGAAAAGGAATCATGTGATGAGACACGTAGCAAACAGCATCGGAAAGTCTTCTGACTTGGGACAACGAAATCATTAAAAATGTCTGTAGAGCGTTTGGACGCATCAGCATCATATCACTAGGCCCCAATGCGCCTTATACCAGTTGAACCATCGATGTACACCCAGCAGTGTTGTGAGGAGAGAACTGCAGAAATGATCGAATCAGGATTGAAAGAGACAATACTCTATCGCCCTGTAACATCCAATACGCCCTGATAGTATCCTCTTATGCTGTACTGTACACATCGCATCACGGGCGACCATTTTGTACTAATACACACTGTTGACTTGCTTGTGGTAAGCACTGTCTAGCTCTGAAAAATGTGATATCGAAGCGGAATAATCGAACTACCGCCGTGAACGATACGTCGCGTTACTGATCGTAAAAAGTCGCAATACTCTCTGGAAGACGCCATTGGAGTCTCTAACAGCCAAATTTAGCGGGATGTTTTGTGGAAGTCAGTGGCCAACCGATGGTGGGTGAAGCAGCCAATGCGCTTGCTTCATCGTCCGAGATGTTCAGTTCGCGTTCCATGCAGCTGATTCTCTCAGGGGAATTTTGGGTCGAACTCTGTAGTATCCAAACCCCAAATCTCGATATCCTTTACGTCCTCCCTTCTCAAGACATCGATTTTCCTTTTTGGTCCAGCTCTTTTAGCATTCATGCTCTTCTCGTTATCATTTGGCACCGGTTCTTTACCCTTTGGAGGGAAATAGACACCGCCTAATTTGAACACAATATTATCGCCGTAACCAATGTACTTGACGTTCTTGTACTCCGGTCGCCAAAATTCTGTTGCAAACGCAAACGCGTGCATCGTGGGATCCTCATCGTCTCCCATCGGGTCGTTTGTGTCGTAAGTTGGACGGGCTAGGAAACGGACGGCCCATAGCTTAGGAACTAGGGTAAAGACTTGGCGTAACGACTCGAGGGGTGGGACACCGCAAGCGAAACCGAGTTGCTCCAGGTTAGGACATAGCTGGCAAAGTCTGAAGAGGGCATCATCAGACAGTACCCAACGTTCGTTAAGAAGCAGATGCCGGATGGTCTTATTATGATTGGTTTGAATGACCGCAAGGAACTCGCTTCCGAGGCTGCGGCAGCGTTGCTGGGTCATGCCGTTAGGGGTGTTGCTTGCGCTGGTATTGCAGTTCACGCCCGGCGTCATAGTGGACGGTGTCGTAGGCGTCGCGGCTGTGCTGTTTGACTTGGGAGATGCTTCCTTGCCTCGCCTATTATTCACGATGTACAGTCGCTCCAGACCCTTGAACTTCCCCAGCATGGTAACACTCTCTTTGTCCGTGTTATCGGTGCGTATCATCTTCAGGTTACGAGGCGTCGGATGGTTGTTGTGTACCCTCCAAGAATCGTCAGCAAAAACCGTCATAGGGTCGGAACTGCCCATGGAATTGATCACGGTGATCTCTGTTTGGCAGTCGTGATTCATAACGTTGTGAAAGTCGTCGCCAGAGAATCGAGTATATACGTTGTATATGGCCAAGCGCTTAATGGAAATCGCATATCTCGCAGCGATGCACCGACCGAACATCGAGTGCAGGCTCACTGACTCTTCGCCTTCAGCCCGCATACGCGGACTCCAGTGTAGCTTCAGGTTCTCGAGCTTCTTGGAACCGGCTAGAAGCAGCGATATGTCGTCGGGATAGCATAGTGGATCGATGTCGTACACAACCAGCGTGGTCAAATTCGGAAGCGGAGGTATAATGGTAGTCGGTCGCGGTGTTCGTCGTGACGGGCATCGAATGGTGAGCGACGCTAGCAATGTTCTTGTCGTAATGCCTTGGTATACCGTACTCAACGGAGGGGTGCTCAGCTCCCAACTATGCACATCAGCAACTGTCCTATATGGCTCTGACACGTGACGTACGCAAAAGCCTTGAGATTCTTCATTTTGTCAAGCGCGGCACGCATGACGATTTGCAGTATCATGCTGTTGTCTGGCACGCGACCCTGTTTATAGTCGTCGACATCATGTTCTCGCCAGTCGCCTATGACACGAAACGATTGTATGTAGTCGCTGAAGTTCCGCGACACCAGTGTGTTGAGTCCCATGGCAAAAGGGCTGCCATTGCCGTATCCCTCCGGTCTGCCATCGACGTATCGTATGTCGGCGTATGAACGTAGCGTAACTTTCTCGTAGAGTCGCGGGAGCGTCATGTAATAGAAGAGACGCGATGTGCGCGTGATGCGCGCAAGGTCACCGACATCGTCCAGCTTCCATGGTTGTCAGCATAGCTCCCTAGGGGCCGTGGTCGCATGTAAACTGGTCGCATGTGAATGCACAGGGCAACGTACATGTGTGAGGATCAGCTGAATCAGATGCAGCGGGAGCTCTTTCGCTTGCGCAAGGTTGCTATGCGATCTCGCGGGCGAAGTGAACCATGTATGAAGGGGAGCGGTTATAGGTCTATCTTTGGGTAGCAGCGCGTCGGCGGAGAGGTGCGCGCGCTTTGAGTCCGACATGAGGCTAAAGGAAGGGAACACATGCGTGATACGAATAGAGACTGGGTCGCGTTCTCATGGTGGAACTCGCAACATCATGGTGTATCATCCGCTGTCATCATCGCTCATCGGTCGTGTTCGCGAAGCGCATCGGAACTTTTGCTGGCAGAGCCTCCGTATCTCCGTTTCGTCCACCGAACGGCCGCATTGGTCCGGCTGCCTTCGGGAGGCTTCGGTAAACAATTGGCAGGATGATTGGCAGCAGGCATTTTATCGAGTCACATTTACTTCTATACGGCGTATACGGCCAGATTCAGACATCTCGCAAAACCCTACAGACTTGGACGCTTATTTTGGGTCCTGCTCACTTCTTTCCCGCTACGATGTGCGTGGGCACCTATGCACCAGCGCAAAGGCTACAAAAGCATACTGTGTGCGGAGTTGTCTCCGCTCGTTTGCTCGTTCACTACGGAACCAAAACCGCATGTCCAGCGCCCTTTTGTCACGCGCCCTTTTGTCCAGCGGTTCCGCCGGAAAGTTGGACGTCTTTGGAGTCACCGCCAGCGACCAGCATCATGGCGATCTGAGTGCCGCTTATCACGGACTGAAGAACCAGGGTCGTTTACCGTCGTACTTGTCCGCGGGAAGTCTGAAAGGAACTTCGACCGTGCCTGCAAACACATCCATGGATGGCAGTCCGCCCTGTTCGAGACTCTGGAGCTTGGCGTCTGGTACAGGCATGACGACACCACACTCCCAGTTCCTGATGTTCAGACTCCCTATTCGTCCGCTTTTCAGTACTTTCTGCCCTCCCCACGCTGATTCAGAAATGTTGGCAGACCCAACGTAAACCCACGCGAAAGGCTTCCCGTCCTTCTTGCGACCACGCGCAAACAGCAGTTTATTGTGCGATAGTATACCCCGTCGCATAGAGTCGTAGTCACGCATGCACTCTTTTGGGAATGTTGGTGCATTGTAACATTGAGGACTCAACGTGATGATACCTGCACATCCCGGACCTCCCATACTTTTCTCGACCGTGTCGTGGGTAGGAAAGTATATTCTAATGCTATTGCGCACATCGGCAACGAGCGCATTGTCTTTCGTAAACGATTCGCCACATGCAGCAAGGTGGATGCGTGACAGGAAGTTATCGTTGATGGCACCGAGGGAGGAAGCTGCGTAGTCCAGCTCAATGTGTTCGACATCGTCTAAATGCAGCTCCCGTATAGCCTGTGCAAGGCCAGGGAGACCTGTTGGATGATCTGTTTCGATCTTATGTGAACCACCACTATTTCGAATCAGTACGTACAATTAGCAAGCATACTAGGGGCCTTACATGGAGTGAACGAAGGCCAGATGGCTAGTCTGCGCAAAATCAAACTTTAGCAATCCGTCAACCACTTGTGGCCCAACCTCCTGTTTCTCTAAGAAATATAGCAGTTCGCGACCAAAAGCCGACAAGTCTCCCTTCTTGCTAGCAGTATCGTCGGGTCTCCGCGGAAGGTCAATCAAGAATACTGAGTTCTCCATGATACCGGGTTGCCAGTCGTTCGAAACTTCGCCCCAGTCGGTCTGGGTCATGTTCGCGGTTGGTATAGCAATGCGTAACTTGTGTTTCCCAAACAATAGCATGAACTTGCTATGCATGCTAGCAATCATGCCACCCATCGGTGGGAAATGCAGCTTCATGTTTGGCACACCAGATTCCTTCCATTCCTGAATGCGCTTTGCCTGTACGTCTTCGCCTCTGTATTTACCATTCATCAACCATATTTGTTTCACCTTCAATGGGTCAAGCTTCTCGTACAGCCATCCCGAGTCATATTGAAATGAGCTGATGACTGCGATGTTGACCGTTGACGCCTCAAGTAATTCGTCGATGGTGATGTCGTCGGTCCGTGGATATTTCGACGCGAATGTGCGCTTGATCGTCCCTCTAGGATATTGCAGTGGTGTTTCATTGAAGGCCGTCTTGACTGCAGGTGGTCTCGCAACCTGCTTGGAAGGTCTTTCGGGCGATACGTCGCGCTTTCGTTTACCAAGTCTTGCCAAGCGCTCCTGTTCCATGGCCTTTCGATCCATGCCCATGAGACCCGAAGTGTTGTTTAGAACGGCTGCCTTTCGAACAGTTGTCGCTGAGGACTGTTGAACGTCATTATTGCCGCTTTCCTGGAGTGACAGGGCAATCGCACGCCGGAGATCCTCATCCTCATTGTCATCGCTGTCAGATATGAGGTCGATAGGTTCGTTCTTAGCGATTGCTGTGGCGTCGCGAGTGGCCCGAGGCGAGACCTCTTGTAGTGACATTGCCATCGCCAGCTTGAGATCTTCATCATCGGACTCCATCTGTTTTGTGACCAAAAAAGCGGTCGTCGTGAGGATGTTGATGATTGAGTAAACAACGAGATCAATGCACGAATGCAGCCGCGGAGGCGAACGGACATGCGGGACCCTGGAAACGCGCTTTCACGTCAGCATGTGATCAAAGCTTGGCGTTCTCGACGCGTTGTAAGCACTGGCACAACAGCAGTGAGAATACGTCATGCATAGGAAATGTCTTATGTGATACCAAATATGAACTTGCTACGTTAAGATTCCTGTAGCATGCACTACTCCTCATTTGCTCTTGTCTTCCACAGTATTGTACACTCGCGGCACCTTGCAAAGCACCACGAAGTATCCCAGATCAGCCAGTATCCAAGTAACCATCATAACAATGTTGATGGGGGTGGTATAGTATCCATGCGCCTCCGGCCATACCCACCAGCAGTACCCATAGTTCAGAGTTAGCCCCGCCAGACTACCAATGAACCTTAACGCCCAAATCGTGTAGGACGACCCGCGACTGCTTTGTCTAACCATGATTTGCGCCAGTGACATGACGCTCAGAACAACTTGCGCGACCAAGGCCGTCATAAAGCCCAGCTCATCGGTGTCAATGCCCTTGACACCACGATATGCCTTTCCGACTTTCGGATTGACCGGGTTGACTGGATCAACCCACCAACTGCTCACAGCGTAAAGTGCAATGCACCACCACGCAAGCATGCCTGCAAATATCTTGCCCACGTGCCTGCCCACTGCAGGCGCATGTTTCCATTCATTCGCACCGTACTTGACAGCCGCGTAGACAAGACCGAGGTCTATGAGCATCCATATGGTAAACATAGTCTTCTCTCGAGGTTCTTCGGCAACGTAGAGGGCGAATACGATCTCCCAGGCGAAGTTGAAAGCGAGCGAAAAGAGGGGCATGGAGTATGTGCGGTCGCGGATGGATTGACGTGCCATCAGGACATAGCAGATGGTGTAGGTGATACCACCAATGCCCAGGAGTACATCGTTGACTTCGCGGATCGAGGGGTCGACATGAGGAGGTAGAACGTCGCTGCGGGCCATGGTTGCTGTTTGCTATCTGGAGAGAAAGGAGGAATAGCTATGCGACGGTCAGTTCTTCTTATGAGGGGTCAGGCCACCCTGTCAGCATAAGCTCTCATAGTGCGCACGGTTAGTTCGTTAAAGTAAGATGCCATTCGGAAGGGGCTTTCCGATTCCGAGCCTGCGCACACGAACGTAAGCCAACTCTTCATCCCCGTGTTCCGATGTCAGATACGCAATAACAAGAAAAATATCGTGTGAGTATCATCTTGGTTATGGCTGGTCGCATTTTATTTTCCAAACACGGCCTTTGAATGATCCTCGTTCGTATAGGTCCTAGCTATCCTCCATGAAGCGTAGACACGAACATGATGTGATCACCCTTTTGAACTTCGTACTTGTCTTCGCCCTCCAACTCCCAGTCTGCCTCGTTGATTAGAACTAGTATTCCAGGTCGCCTGGGGCTGTTGTTAATATGCTGTCGTAGTCTCAAAGTATAGACATACACCGTATCGTCAAGGACGAAGAGCTCTTTCCGCGGGTCTTTCATGACCTTGTCACAGAGATGTCTGACAAGGAACGCAACACTTGCTGGCTCACCCGACTCGTCCTTGGCCGGTAAGTCGAGGTCATACTTTTTCTGGTTGGCGAACAGGATCTCGAGCCCTCCACTGTAAAAACGTTAGTGAGGGGATACTGGCAAATATCAATTTCACCACTCGCCTAAATTCGATTGTTATCGGGACAGTGGCATCGTTCGACATCTCTGACTTCGATCACCTTTTAGATGATAAATGTTGCAAGATGCTTGGCTACTATTGAGACCGGATGCGCCTGCTCTGCAGTCCCCTCAGTCTAACGCAGCTAAGCGAGACTAGCGCCAAAGAAATCCTTACGGCGATGACTAGATGTGGTGCACGCGCATACACAACGCCTAAGCCGAACAATGAATGTATCTTCTGAATTCATCTCTGTAGGCGGAAACCGTAACCCCGCCGCCGCTGATTGGGACGAAGCTGGGTCGCAACTCCTAGCGTTCGGCGCAGACAACTGCATCGCACTATGGGATCCCCAGGTAAGTCGATACTGGCGTATGACGTACCCTTCACTCACCGAGATAGGATGAAAGTCTTCAGGGCGTTCAGGCGATTTTGAATGGACATACTAAGGCTGTCAACGCTGTCAAATTCTTTCCTACACAATTGCCCGATATCTCGATCCTACTTAGTGGATCAGCAGACAGCACAATTCGGATATGGCGAGGCCGAAGAGGTGAACCCTTCGATTGCGTTAAGACAGTCTCCGGTCACATCCAGCCTGTTACTAGAATAGCCGTTCTGCCCGGTTCAGACACTCTTGCTACAGGATCTTCAGATGGCAGCGTCAAAATCTGGAAACTCGTTCACGATGCAGACTTCAACGACATCGATATCGAACTCGTGCAGACCATCACGCTTTCACCTAAGTACTTCCCTCTAAATCTAGCATTTGCAACCCTGGACGACACATCCGTGGTGCTAGCAGTTGCGGGCACTCGCGCTACCATCCAGATTTTCGTATCGCAAGAAGGCCAATTCCAGCTTTCAGCAACTCTAAGCGGACACGAAGGATGGATACGCGCGCTTGCATTCACCCGAGAGACATCCGATCCCAACAGCGATCTACTGCTAGCATCAGCAAGCCAGGACAAGTACGTCCGTCTTTGGCGACTTCATCGTGGCAACGAGCTTCCCGCTGCTAGTAGTGCACTCAACGATCCGGCTTTGGGTGGACTGGGCAAGGCGTTATCGAACAAGGCACATTGGATAAGTTCAGCTACATCGAAGCACTCTATCACATTTGAAGCTTTGCTACTCGGGCATGAAGATTGGATTTACCAGGCCTCGTGGCGACATCGCGAAGGAAAGCTGCAGCTTCTCACTGCTTCCGAAGATAACTCAGTTGCCATCTGGGAGTCCGATCCAAACTCTGGTGTATGGGTCTGTATCACTAGACTAGGCGAGATCAGCGCACAGAAGGGCTCAACAAGTGCTACGGGAAGTGCGGGTGGATTCTGGATCGGGCTGTGGTCACCGGATGGCAACACAGTGGTGTCTCTGGGACGAACAGGAAGCTGGAGGAAATGGACTTACTCATCCACAGAAGATATGTGGACACAGCAAGTCGCTATCACGGGTCATGTACGCGAGGTCAAGGGCGTTAGTTGGTCAAGAGATGGATCTTACATGCTCTCCACTGGTTCCGATCAAACGAGTCGGCTCTACTCACAGTGGAAACGGGACGGCGCGTCAGCTTCCTGGCACGAGTTCTCGCGACCCCAAATCCACGGTTACGATCTAAACTGTGTTGATGCCGTGTCCAACTCTCAATTCGTTTCCGGTGCAGACGAAAAGTTGCTACGCATTTTCGATGAACCCAGAGGTGTGGCAGACATGCTTGAGAAGCTCTCTGGTATCACGGCATCAACCACCGCCGAACTCCCAGATGCCGCCAACATTCCTGTTCTCGGCCTCTCAAACAAAGCTATTCAAGCTGTCGGGGATGATGATCCGGTGGAGAACGGCGATGAAGACGAGCGCGAAGCCGTTGACCCTGCTTCCGTAATCCGCAAATCTACACTGGAATTCTCTCATCCGCCATTCGAAGACCATCTTGCCCGCCATCTGCTGTGGCCGGAGACAGAGAAGCTCTACGGACACGGATACGAGATCTCCGCAGTTGCCGTAAGCCGAGACGGAAGTCTTGTCGCAACAGCTTGTAGAGCTAGTTCCATCGACCACGCCGTTATACGTTTGTACGATACGAAAGAATGGCTAGAAGTAAAACCCGCACTTAAGGCACATTCACTCACCGTTACCGCTCTGCAGTTCTCGCCGGACGACAAATATCTTCTTAGCGTTGGACGAGACCGACAATGGGTGATCTGGGAGCGCAGCGATGAGCCATCGCTGTACACGCTCAAGTACTCGAATCCAAAGGGCCATTCGCGTATGATACTAGGTGCTGCCTGGACACCTCTCGAAGTACCCACATTCATGACTGCTGGAAGAGACAAGAGTGTCAAGATATGGCAGATCGTTGACAATGATGTGCAACTCAAGGCTACCGTACCAGCTAATGCCGCCGTTACTGCTGTGTCATGTAACAACGTGCTACCTGGTGGTAAGATTATGTTTGCCTACGGTACGGAAAATGGAGATATCGGCATTGCAAACACTCCATCAGATGCTTTGGACAAGGTAGAAGTGTCTATGGTCAAAGCGGAGTTAGTGCCCGCGAAGACGATCAACCAGATCGTCTGGCGGCCTGGAAGAGCCGATGGCGAGCAACAACAGATTGCAGTAGCGAGTGATGATACCTCGTTGCGTGTCTTCAACATCTCGCAAGAGGCATCGTAGCAATAGCAGAAGATTTCAGGAACGTGTTACATGTCGACAGTTGAATTTGATCAAAACTTTACACTATTACGCATGTTTTGCTGGGGTATCTCGCCAAAGAAAATCATTTCCTCCAATTTTTCCACAAACAATCCTGTATCTCGTGCTTGATGTTCAAGCATAACGTGCCCCCGCACTCTTCTCATTGACCGGTGCCACAGGAGGCATTCCAGGCTGGGCCATCGGGTACTGTCCAGGCGACATGCGCTGTTGCTGCTGCATCATCTGTGGATGTTGTCCGAATTGCTGCATCTGTCCCGGTCCTTGCTGCATATACTGGGGTTGCATCGGATATCCCTGCTGGTTCGGTGGCATCTGATAGTACATGACTTGTCCTGGTTGCGGCTTCATATGGGCCTGCCCTGGTGGGGGCACAATAGCGCCATTGGTGATCATGGTCTGTACGATGTTGGCAGCAATCTTCTCTGCGTCCTTGCTGGTCTTGCTGCGGTTGTGGCGATGGCAGTCGACGCAAGCCCACACGAAGAGCGCGAAGTGAATAACCAATCCGAAGAATTGACATACAACACCTGTCAACGTAGTGTTTGCGCGTGTCCCTTTCTCCGCCCAAAGCTTGTTAACATAAGCGTCCTGCTCTTCGCAGTTGTTGAATCCGTAGTAATCACAGTCTCGCGGGGAGTTGACATAGCTCGTGTCTTGTTCCCATACCCACGTGCCGTTGGAGGCTAGAACATAGTCTCCACCACCAGAACCATAACTATATCCATCAGGTCCACCATATAAACCGTAATCCAACACGTCCCGGAACGCGAAAATAGCAAACATTGCTGTTATAATGAAGGAAAGCCACAGCAGAAGATCCATCGTTACGCGAACACCAGGGTGCACAGGCCGTTTGCGCACAATAAAGACGATCATGCAAAGCGCGACAAAAGCTACTGAGACGGACCAGGTGATTAGACCGGGCCATACTGCGTAGCTGTTGTAACCGAGATAATAGTAGTCGTTGTTGGTGTACAAGTCCGTGGTCATCAAATAAGCAAAGCAGCCAATGCCGACCAAGCCGGTTATGATGGCAATGGCTCCAAGGCCAAACTTGAACTTCCAGTACCGGTCGCCGGCATTGAGCTTGTCGTTGAACGAAAGGCGTTCTTCGGTCTCGGTCTCGGTCGCCTGTGGAGCTGTCGTGTTCGGGATCGACGCCGTAGGACCCGTGGTGGGAACACCCGGCGCAGGGCTGCTCGAGGCTTGGGTTCTGGGGGAGTTCGCGTTCGCAGTTGACGTGGCATTGGCATTTGTCGCGTCGGATAGTCTAGCAACAGACTTTGGAGGAGGCGTCGGAACAGGAGAAGGAGGCGCAGCTGAAGTCGCGTCGGGCGCGTGCGGCGTAGCCTGAGGCTGCGAAGTAGAAGAAGACATTATTAAGTATTAACTAAAGTAAAAAGCGAGTGGATGCGCAGAGATATGCGCGTGGTATATGGTCAGACGGGGCCTTCGAAAACACAAAGAACAGCAAGAAGGCCAGGCAACAGGAGAGAACTCTGCCTGTCTACAGACATCGTGGCGCCACGGGGTGCCTGAAGCTAGTCGTATCGGTGTTGGATAGCACTTAATTTAGATGAG